TCAAGAAGTATTCGCACTAAAATTACTCCTTGATTTTAACTTACTGACAAAACCACAGTAAACGTAACGTTGAGCTACGGGCTAGCTAAATTTCGATTCCCAATTCATTAGACACGGAGTGTCCTGCGGAGCAGACTGATAGTTGGTTCATTAACTGTAATATTTGCGCAACATGAAAGTTGTTTTGCGTTCGAATCTATAATAAAACTACGTATTAATTACCTAGAACGGAATCTAAGAAACCAATGCCGTGATCACATAGAATAAACCAGATATAATTCGTGTTGAGAAAAGGATGCTCATAAGATGCGCAAGAAACTAAGCTAATTCATCTCTGTTTTGTGAAATCCTTTTTTCTCACAGGTTCGAAAAAAGATATTAGCCATCTAGATAAAGATATATAATTAACTGTAATTATCTGGCTTCGAGTGATGGAGTCATGAGAAGGCGGGATATATTGATCGCCTTGTGAGATATAACAGAGCTAGTGTCTGAGACACAGTTTTACGAGCTACAGATATAAAAACGTGCGCTTTCTCAGTGAACTAACCCTAAGATACAGAGTAATCCATATCGTGACTTTTTACAACGTGCTGAAACCCACGTAATTTCAAGCAAGTACTATAACCGCAAAATCTCAATCATATCAGCTTCGTTATTACCCAATAAAATCGAAACACAAACCTATCAAAATGTTCTCAAACATTACCGATTTTCTCGTATTCGTCGGCGCCATGGTGATCCAAATGGTAATTTTTTCCATCATAACCTGGTGTAATTCTAGGAACACTGAAAAGCGATTCGACGCAAAAATGACCGACTCGCTCAAAAAACAACAAAAAATTTTCTCCCGAAAGAGGGACAGTGGTTATATTCGAAGATCTACAATAAATTACCGGATTTAAATTGATGAGTAGAGCTTGACTTCATAGATACAAAGTTTTTTCTACCCAACGACCAGTATTTCGGAGTGTACTACAAATATCATGATACTGAGCATATTAATATCAGCTCCCAAATACTTCTTCCCCAAACACGTGCTCCGTTGTATACCACTTCCTAAACGATGTCAAAAAAATCTACGTCTTACCCAATCACTACAGCTGGCCCTTCTTCAAGAACAAGAAGTGCTACTAAAGCTGGCCAATCCACAACAGGTTCTACTCTTAGTGGTAGACCGGTTACTACACCTGCTCTTAATATTAAATCAAAATTAACTGACGGTGAGTTGTCTTGTTAATATTGTTTTTTCTATCGAGGAGCCACTCAGTGTCGTCTGCAAAAAAATAGATTTAAAGAAGCTTGACATGAGCTCTCCTTTCAAAATCTGGGCGAAGTACAGCGAGGGACAACCTGCAGAGATTATATTTGACAGAGGAAACGTGCATGCTCTGAAGAAGGCGATTAAGAAGGAACTGACACCTGATCTAGATAAAACTGCTGTTCATCATATTATCCTCCGAAAACACGGCGATGAGACTGACCTAGAACCAGATGCTATGGTGGATTCGAGTTTCCAAAATACAGCCAAAAACCCTCTTCAAGTTATAGTGCTAGAAGAGGAACACGAAGAGCAAGGTAATTAGTGAGTGAATAATGCAATCCTCTGTTGATTTGCGATCAAAAATTGGTAAAAAGATATGGTTGATAGTTCAAAGTCGTTAACACGGCGGGATACTTGTTTAAGGGACGTTTGGAATGATACTTGCTAACCTGTCCTATTTTATCTGATTTATTTTCAAACAAGCGACGTTAAAACGTAAATATGAAGAAGATTTACGCGAAATCATAGAGAAATCCGTGGAGAATGCATTCTCCCATCACAAGCATGATATAGTTTCGGTATCAAAGCTTTCTGGAGCAAAGATAGCAAAAATTATGGACGATCTTGGATTACTGACTATAGAAGTAAGCAACCTCTTCTCCATTATTTAAAGCATTCTTATCGCTCATCTATTATCTAGTTGTCAGATGAAGACTTCCGATCGTTCGAGCTTCTGCAATGCCGACCCTTCCGATGGGATTTGGAGAGGGACAAAGATCAACAGATGCCTGATGTTGAGAGATGGTTCAAGAGTGTTCTAAACCTACCAAGGAATACGCATGTGAAAGATGTTCATACCAAGGTGAAACACCAACGGCAGTTGCGAGGAGCGAACATTACTTTAACGGGTGGTGGCGATATATCGGTTGGACCAAGTCTGACCCCTTGCGTCTGGATTGAAACCAAGAAATCAGTCGAGGATTTCAACGAAGGCCAAGCTTTTGGAGAGTTATTACTAATAGATCACCGCCACGCCTTGAATTCAATGGTCGTCTTGACTGATTGCAATGACCATTGGATTATTTTCTTCTTCTCCAAACGGGAACAACAACAATACCTGGTAAAATGTACAATTGGGGATCCTGGCATGGCTTTAGCGATAATTCGGCGGTTTGTGCTTGAAGAATCAAAGAAAATCACAGAATGGCCGGCTGACATCGACCCCACAGCAAACTTACCCGCTTTACCTGTGCATCTTGAGAAGAGAACGAAATTTTTGGAACGCATAACTGAGGCAGTAGACGACAGGTTAGCAGAAATGATTGGCGACATGTCAGAAACAGAATTATTCAATATGCAAATGCGTAAAAAGCTAACGTTGTTAAAAGATTGGTGTGATTTAGATCAACAGCCAGATGTAGACCGACTTATTAGACAGTTTAGCGATGATTATGAAAATCCACTGCCACAGATCTACATACCAAAACTATGAGATTATTAGAAATAAGTTTGTCGTATTAACGTGACTAAATCACGTTCGGGTGTGACGCATGAGTGAAGACGATTAAAAAGTCAAATTAAAAATTTATTGCCTGCGCCGAAATATATAAAACTATGAGGTCTCGCTAATACCGTACAATATAAAAAGCTTGGACCTAACATGACTGCATGGGAGGGAAAACTGGTGCACCAGTGGAAGTCAGCTCCAAAGCTTGCCCGAAGACGATAACTACCTTAGCTGAAACTTTAATGTTTCCCCCAATAGCACTGTGTTGTCTTTGTTATATTACAGTATTACCACTGAAAGTCACTATTGTTGATGCTGTTATGTTTGTCATAACAATAACATAAGGATAACACAACGTTATTTCCTAGTGATATGACAACGACATCACTATGGTAATACAACGGTGTCATTAAGTCGTTATGGAAATATCGTTTGAGGCATCAAACAATATTGTGGAAATAGTGCTGTAATGTCTTTGCGTTGCCATAATAATACCGTGTGTGTTAGATCACGATAACACTATTTATTTTGAAAGGATATTATGATGATATCGTTATGATATTACAACAGTACCTTTCAAATGTCATTGTGCTCTTAACAAGTATTGTTTGAGACACCTCTGTGGTATTGCCACAGTATCTTTATAATGTTATAATCATACCGTTGTGTTCAAAAGGAGTATTGTTCGAGACATCAGCACAATATTACGGACATAATGCTGTCATTATGATAATATCATAACGTTAGATAATAATATCCCGACGTATTTTAGAAAGATATTACAGTGACATCACTATGATATTATTAAAATATCGTTAACATGTCACAAACACAAAAATTATATCATGGAAATAGTACTGTGTTATTATGATCTTATCGATCATTATAACACGGCTTATTTTATAGAAGACATTACTATGACATCACTATTGTATGTCTATAATGCCATGAAAACACCGTTATGATAGCATTATGTTGCAATTACGACATTATAGCGATACCACTAATTTATTTCATTATGGTAATTAAGACATTAAAATTATTACATGGTACACTAAGCTATAATACTGAGATGTCGTAATGGCATCCTCGTATTAGTATTATATTTTTTTTATATAATGTTGTTACTTCATAGAAAGACATAACTACGGTACGATAATAGTATGGTTATCATTTCGTTTATAGGCTAAATAAAAAAAAACATACCGAGCTTCGTTAACCTTTATCATCCCGCCCATACATTAACTTCCGCAAACGCCACCACCACCTCTCCATTGTTGGTTATAAACAGTCTGCAGAACAACTTAATGTCTCCCTTTGCAACTTATTGCACGTCGCACGTCAAGACGAAATTTTAATAAGCACTACTATGCACATGAAGAAGTCTGTACTAGGGAACATTCACAACAATTAACAACATACTACTCTTCCGATCAACGTTCGATTTCAAGCCGATGCGCGAGTAATGAATCAGTATGATATGACTAACCAAGGAGTATGTAATGGCACTGATGACATTGGTCACAAAGTCATTCAACAAATCGAACAAACTTTTCTCAGCAACCGATCCCTAATATAGCCCCCAAAACGTCCTACTTTTCAGTCAACAGCGCGCAAACGCCTTCCGCACACAATTTCCCTTCCTTGCAAAACTGTTTTGCACTTACGGTACACATATCCCAAGGACTAACGTTATCCGTATATTTAGATAAGCAATTTTTTGCTGTCGGCCAAGCCCACTTTGCGCTAAGCCGTGCATCATCTTGGAACAGAGAGATACCTTACGTAGATAAGTAAGCATTTTCTGTCGATCAAGATGTTATTCGCGAAATATGGACAATAACACCACCCTACCATAAATTATTAGCTTCATTATATACGTCATCCATGCATCAACACAAACAACAATTACATCAAACCCACTAGCTCACGTACATTTCCATCTACTTCCCATTTTGGTAACTAATCAATAATGAAACAAAGCTTCTCTATCCACACATTAACATTAGATAACTTTCCTCTTCCATTTTTACGACAACGATAATTATAATAACAACGTTTAAATGTAATTTTCCTTACAATTAGATTAGCCATTATTTTAACTCTTCTCTTATAAAATATTACCTCATAAACGATAAGATACACCAAGATAAAATATGCACAATAAAAGATATTACCACCAATTTACCCTATTTTGTAAACTTATTACAAAATTCCACACTAAAACATTACCGTAAACGATTACGTAATCGACTCAAATAAAGCGAATAATTATTACACCATAATAATTGCAACTTTTGTTTAAAATAACGCGCACGATTCTACTATAAAACCAATCATCAACCATAAACGATCCGCCAAAGTACCCTCGGTATCTCATAAACCAGTCCAGCACACATTTCCTCGCCAATGCACAAATCTCAATCTATTAATTATTTTAACACTAACTAAAAACCATGTTCGTTAATTTTGATTCCACAGCCGTACACATCATCAAAGTTTAAACAAATTTTGTTCGGAATACCAAATACTAAAAGCCAGTGGAATATTTTTAAACTTTGCGAATGAACCAATATTGTGTTCACTTTGACGTATATATACTCAAAAACAATTCCAATTGGCGTGTGACATCAACTTTTGCAGCAGACGACATTGTCAACTAGCTGGTACTATTAAACTAGATTAGAAGACAATGCTATTACAGTAAGTATAAATTAGACCACATACTGATACTCTTTACGTAAACAATAATGTCATCGACTACTACTTTCATGCACAGATCAAACCATTCAAGTGCCATATTTCTCAAAAGTGCCGACAAATGTTCCCCGTGCACGAACCTGGCTACGAGTAATCGGAACATTAAAAACTACACCCATCCAAGTACACGATAATATCACTACTTTTATAGTACAAAGTAATCGATACGTCTCCGGCACTGGTTTCACCTCTCGATTTGCAGAACTATATAAGAATCCACCAAGTGCTGAGAAAAAAAAAACCTGCATGAACGAATCACAAAAAAAACTCGGCACAAAAGTGTCAATTGTAGGCGAACTAGACATTTATAATAACAAACTCTGCGTCGAGCTCCACAGTTTTTGACTTCTTATTTTTTAACATCTCTCAAACTACATCAACTACGCGCTTTCACTATCACATTATGTCAAAAAAAATTGCGCATGTACGAATCCATTTTTGAGAATTTCCCATCCACAAATACCGCTCGTACAACTCCTAATAATATACACAAACGGAACAAGTCTGACGATACAACCTCACTTTAACACAACCAAAAAGAACATGACAACAATTCAGTCTCTACAGTAGAAAGTGATCAAGAGCCGGAAAGATTGCAAAATCCCAAAGAGAAAGCGATGAATTACAGCTCAAACCCGTCGAAAAAAATTGCAAGAATAGCATCGTCAAAACTGAATTTACCGTAAGGTTATGTAAATCGATATCAATACTATACCGTCCATAACTTTTTTTTTCCAAACTAAGTACAATACTTTTGCAATATATATTATCCGATGCAAATAATCCATCCTAAGCAAGGTATTTAGTTTTTAATAATAAACGATATACTGTAACTCTAACAACCATAATATCTATACACAATACTCCCTGTGTTAATCAACAACTCAAACTTTTAAATAACGTCTATACATTTTACGTAAATTACTCTCGATTGTGGTCTAACAAATAGACTAGGCTCCATAATAATCCACAAACAAATATATCGCTTTTCCTAATAATTAAACCCATATTAACTGTTTATTTACATCCTACATGCTATATGTCATAACACAAACCAAAACTACAAATTTATAATAACAAAGACTGCGTCTATTCGTTAAATAATTTACCATTACGCAAAAATGTGTAACATATACCATACCTAATCATTAAATCTTAACTACTGCTACACGCACAAAAATGACTTACATAACGACAACATAATATAAAAAAAGCAATCACATGACTTGCGATCAAGAAAGGGAAAGCTCTTATCTAGTTTACAATCACATTTCACTTTACACTTTTGACATTTTTATTTTTCATAGTTTAAGAACAGATCAGATGACGACGGCGGCAGCAACAGCAAACAATGCCAACTCCTTCGAACTGACGCGCTACATTCCAAAATACTTGGTGATTTTGTAGCTTTGATTGGCACTTACTCATGGATGTTACGAATTTCGAATAATTTTGGTGTTGCCGGCTTGTTCATCTATCGACTGATACAGAAAAGTATGTGTATTGACATCTTTGAACTATGATTATGACCAATGCATTACTTCGGGACCTCAGATTATTGCTAATGTTATGATCTCATTTTATATAGTGACGCCGACATTATTATTGGATGTATCTGTAAAGATTGATATGGTTAACTTGTATGGCTGGATGTGTCAACGGTACAGTATTCGTTGGACTTGTCGGAGTAAATTTTGGGGTTGTTAAAGACTTTGAGAAAACGAGAGAGAGAGGTGGTGATAGAGTGAGCTGACGACGAATAAAATAGAGCGGAGAATGTTGTGGACGAGCTTATTGAGGTAATTATTATTTTTTAAAACAAAGTTCTTGGAGTCCTAGCAGCGAACAAAATATCAACTTGATTAGTTAACTAAATGTATATTTCGCAGGAAGGAAATCATGGATTAAGTTAGATCAAACTTTATTTGAACGTTCTCGGTAACTCGGCATTCAAAGAAGTTTTACATATTGCTCGAAGACGACTTTTTTTCGAGGAGACGTTATTGAAGGATCCGAAGCTTCAGGCGTGGGTGAATTTACAGCTAACGAAGATACCCCTTGAATATATGCAACGATTTAGTGTCGGATATATGAAAATTACAGCTTTGTCTGCCAATAGGTAAATAAAGACTTACAATCATTCTTCGAAGAAAACTGTTTCCGAAAAGCACGCATTTATTGCAATTTTATTACTAAACACCTTTTCTTCACGTACGTATCGATTTCAGCTTCATTACATGGAAGCACGTTGATATTTGCTTTTTGGATAGATTGCAAGCGCCGGGATCAATACAACTTTAAACAGAACCATAGCTTTTTTGTTTCCGCTTCATATAACAACTTTGCATCATAAACTAGAGGTCCAACAGTTACAAGTCATCAAACCAGCCCATAGGTGGACCGGTAAAGTGCATGTCAAAGTACGACGGATTGTTTTTTGTTTAAACTGTCTGATAATTTTGACACGTAAGAAACACAACTGTGGGTTAATCTTGGAAAAGCGATTTTGTGTTTGCGAATGAGCATTTCAGAGAGTAATCGAGTTGTCACTGTCGACCCGAAAGCGGATATTTGTGTTTAATGTCGGGTGAGAAAAGGTACAAAATGTTTGTATGATTGACGTGTAATTACGGATGGGGGTGACAAGCGGGGGACTCCTACAATGTGAGTCGACCTGAGGGATAAGCGGCATGTAGTAGGTAATAGGTGGCTTTTCCGAACCGCTAAATACTCAATTATTCTCTCTTCCATAAACTTTAACGTCTGCCATGTTTAAGACTAACTGCGTCAAAATTTCAACAATATTGTCAAGTAATGTAGAGATAAAAGATATATTATAACCGATGCGATCATTGTTTTTATCGTGCATCTTTTATAAAATTTTTAATACAAGAAAAGCCTCAACTTTATACAATCGAGTTTGGTTTGCCCACACTTTTTCAATATAAACAAACGACGCGCCGCGCTCAATTAACATTATTTCAAAGTATGTCATTTTACATTACAGCTAATTTGTCAAAATACTGACAATTGTTTTATCGCTACAATCATTCATCAAACTCACTATCCAGATCGTTTTTGTAATAGTTGACGCAGGAATTAAAATGCGATGTTAAACAAACTCTGCTCCGGAATAATTTAGCCTCAAAAAATTTCTCTCGCCCATAAAAAGCATAACAAAGTAATAGAGCTAATCATTTGCTTATTCATAATTTTTTGTTCCTTCTAATGATACTATTATTTTTTATGAAAAAATTTTTATATTGTAATAAAAGACTTATTAATAGTACTATTATTATATAGTATTAAATCGGTTGGAATTCTACATGCGGTAAACGTACGGGTATGCATACAGCAATTACAAAAATTGCATGAAGCAAATGTTAATTCATAGATTAGCTTCTAGACAGCAACATAACGTTACAAGCAAATAGAATAACGTATTACCGGGCTTACATCAAACGCAGTTGCTTTGTAACAAAGCAACTGTATATAAATTGTGATTTGTGTTCCGAATAAAGAATATTTCTTAGTTTGGGTATTTATATTAATATACCGGACGAATCGCTCGTTAATTGTTCTCAAATCAAGTACGTCAACCATTATTGTACAATAACGAATGATAGCATAAATCGTAATTCAAATTATGGCCTGGTCAAGAGATATATTTTAATAACAATATCGCATACGCATATAATAGTAAGAAATACGTATAAAATATAACATAACAAAATCAACAATTTTCGCTTAATATATGGCATATTTTTTTGTAGGACAAAGAAATTGGCCATGATCAATCATTTTGACACCAGCTGTTGGAAATGTTTCAATTATCAAGTTACGTTCCATAGTATTTAACTTTTCTACCGAATATAAACAAACCCAATGAAGATCGACCGATAACTAAAATAATGTTACGAGTTAGAATAATTGGATACATGTCAATGAATAAATAAACCATACTTACATCAGTAACAATGTCTATAATAATGTTATCTTCAGACAAAACGTTAAGCGCACATGGTAAAATGTATTCACCGAAGTAGTTATTTCTAATGTCCGCTTTATATTGTATTTCTTCAGTCGATGTTTTTATTGTTGTCTACAAATCAAAATATTTATATTAATACATACAATTATGACCACAATCAACAATATTATACTTATACTTACTTCCATTGTAATAGTCCCACAATAATGCTTCATCAACAAAATGCCGAGTTTGTATTTATTTGGAGATACTTTGAATATTGGTATTGTTACCTAATATATAATTGTTTATTAGTTAATATTCTCAACGTATACAAACGCTGATAAATAATAATTATTATACACTTACTTTATTAGGTGCATAAAGGGACAAACGTCCCGAATAATAGACACTATTGAATGACGTATGTTAGTAGTGATACAGCATAATAATAACGAAATAATCACTATAAATTACTTACGTGTAACAATCACTGATATCATCAACATGACTTTCATATGCAAAATGTGCTTTCAAATGACCTAATAATAATAGTAATTAGTATGCATAATAATATATAATTATGTAATCATTGCATTGCCAACCCCTTACTTTTGTGCATGTAATAAACTTTTTCAAAAAACGCGTATATACGCGTACGATTACGCCAAGTATTGTTATGCTCCTTATTATTATACCAAGATGCAGCAGTGTTGTACCATCTGGTGTAATCAGCTGTTCCATACTGATGCTTACACAGCAACTGCCATTGATTGATATTATTTAACTCATCCATTGCATAATGAAGACAACTATCCACAAGAACCTTAAACCATTCTACATCAAAGTGCTCAAGTTTGTTTACATATTCATTAATAACATTGAATATTCTTCCTTGCTTGTATATACGCCTAATATGTCTAATATCTTGTCTAGCTCCCCCTTTATTCCCTAAACCTAAATGTGCCATCAAACTTAAATACCAGGCATCATAATAAACTTTGTTTACTTCAATTGCTGTCTCAATATCAAACAGTGCTTTTCCAAAATTGTTCATATCTAATTTGATCTTTGCTCTATTACACAATGCTTGATAATCCGCGAGATCTGCTTCTAATATTTGTGTATAGATGTTTGAAGCCTTTTCCAACTCATTACTGCCATATGCCATTTCAGCTTCTTGGAACAATTTTTCTATATCAATGTTTGGCTTTTTTGCTGCTGTTAATGATTTCCAGATTGAACTCCATATAGATTCAGAACCATATTTCCTCATTCTGCTCTTTTTCTTTTGCTTTTTAAGATCTTCATGCTCACTAAATATTTTTGCATCCATATTATTACCAGCATTATTAACATTGTAAACATCTTGACAATCAGTGTCTGCAATATAATGTTGAACATTATTGAAGATGGTCTGCTGTGGCAAATAATACACTTTGTCCTTTTTAATTTCACTTCTGCAGTAAGGACACTCCAGGTTGTTCAATGACAAAAGAGCTTTTGAACTAATAATGTGTTGACAATTCAGCTGATAAAAGTCACCAACAGTTTCACAAGTAATACCACATGTTAGATCTTCTGTAATATAGTAAATTGGGGGTTTCTCAATGCTTTTCCCTTTTCCTTTATCTTGCTGCTCTACATATTGAGCACTTGTCACTATTTGATCTGGTGAGTACTGTAATATCATTTTTGATCCAACTTCTAATTTCTCTTTTAGGTAATAGTACATGCTAACCATCCTTGGTATAAATTTCTCATCACTACTAGAAATATTATCAGGTGCTGTAACAAACAATTCACTATTCTTCACTTCAAGACTCATTAACACTTCAATGGATTTGAATTGAATAGATTCAGTGGTAGCATTATTCAAAGAGTCTAATGCTATGTAATAGCAAATAGCCTGAGTAGTTGAAGAAAGTGTTTTCTGTACAAGTTGCTGGATAATATCTAAAATACCAAACCAGAGCTCATTATTAAAATCTTGATTTTCTGTTGCATCTTCAGCATAACATAGACTGATATGATACCAAAGGTACTAGTACTCAAGAAGCACTCTTTCTTTAAAACTTACAGAAATGGCAGATTCTTGCTTACACCATTTGTCAAGACTATCTTGCAATACCATAAGTTGTCTCCAGGTTGCATACCATGGCTTGCCAGATGACTCAACATGAAAGGCTTCTGCTAAATACTTCCATGATCTTTCTAAGTCAAAGTCACCAAGAGGGACATCAAATCCTGTATAAGATTTAATTCCAATTTTGGCTAATCCAGGAACAGCCACAAGTAGACTTTTCAATGCTGCTATGGCTCGATCAATAATCGTCTGGTATTGGTTTGTCTCATCACAAACAGTGTCTAATGTATTCTTGATGAGTTTGAGAAGGTATCTAATATTGTAATTGCAATTAAAGTCTTTGATGGTTTTGTCTGATTCATTAGATCCTGCAAATTTAGGTTTCCAAGTGTCTCCTCCATGTTGCATAAACTTTGAATGCGCCTTCTTGTACATATAAGTGCTCGTCTAATGACATCAAGAAACTGACGTGTAAATCGACACTTCTTCTGACACATTTGCTCCAGCATAGTAATAATAATACGTAATCGCCATTCCAATTTAATAGTCGTTTCTTCTGAAAACACATCATCAAACTCTTGAGAACATAGGCTCTTTATAGTTTTATTTAACATATCCACTGACGCAGAATCTCCTTTATGTTCGAGTATGTATTTAAGTGCGTAAATATTGCGCGAATAGTTCAAGTCTGTTAACAATTCTTTTATTTGGTCGTCTGCTGACATAAACCCTTGTTCCATTAATTGAAGTATAGCTTTAGGAAAGCTCTCTTGATTTGCCGCGGTGTTTCTCGGTGTTGAAAGAGCGCTAATTCTAGGAACACTTGTTGTGAGAACGTTGTCTGATACATAATCTGTTCTTGAGCTAGAACTCATTGAGACGGCTGTAAACGGAATTGAGCTTCAGTCCTTACAATTTAACCTGCAGATGGTTGAATTAAGAAACGGAAGATTATTATGTTTGCTTCTCCATACATACCTTGACGTGACGACGGTGTGGTCAATCAACGATCCCTATTGGCTAAAAATTCTCTGTGTGATCATAACAATCGCTATTCTCGCCTATGGTAAATAATTGGGTTTAAGAACTTGCATGCATTTTTCGTTCCGTCAACTTGTG